GGATAGTAGACACTGAAGCAGGGTGAACAGACGATGAAGGTTGACGGAAAGCTAATGGGGGAGCCCTCGCTCTTCGCACTCTCCCTGACATCGACGAACATCGCATAAGAAATAAAATAAAATAAAGTAAGAAGAAAAGAAGGAAGAAGTACAACAAACAAAAATGATATTACTTACCAGTAAGGGGCTTGCGTCCATATTTCTCATAAAAGAATGACCATGTGCGGACCCCCCACCGTATGAGGAAGGATGGCGCTCACCCACTTGCGGATACCATCAATGGGTGTGAGAGGCAATTTCACAGCTGTGAAAACACAAACAGTTTTAGTACTACTCAAAGGGAGAACAGTCGGGTATCATTCCGACCCAAAGTATAGGGTCTTACATGAAAAATTCCATTTCTCAGGGAACCCTGTAGGATCCACCACAAGATGCTCGGTCCGCACATAAAAATAGTTCTCGTAGAAGCGACGGTTAGCTCTGTCGTCCATCTTTACTACCAAGTTCTTCGACCCTCGGTGGCGCATGTGAATCATCGTGCCACGAATGAGTTGAGGGTAGAAGATATTAAGCATGTGCTCCAAAGTGATCTCACGGCCGGCAAGCTCCGCAAATTTGAGAAGCATAAGGAACAATTTATACAAGTACGACGTAAGTTGAGCCGGGCATACCTCGTAAAAGCGACAAACGTCTACCACCAAGAGAGGGAGAGGAAGCATGTACCCAACAAGAAAAGGGTAGGCATAGAACGCACAATACCCTGGGCGGTCGAAATGGACTATGTCATCCCCCACCGCCGGTAGTATTTCAACATATTGAGGAATTCCCCAATTGGCCCTCAGGTCTGCAATCCCCTCTTCATTTATGACGAAGGGAGCGGGTTCCGGTTCCTCCCCAGCGGGACTGTGAAAATCAGTCCATGCCTTCCCAGGGCGAGGCAAGATCTCAGCCACCGACGGGACCTCTTCATCCTCTGCCACTTCTACTTCTCCAGTGGCCACAACATCATCTTCCGGCACTGGAGTTTTGGCGGGAAGGTCAGCGCGAGAAGAATCACCAACCATTTGTATCGGTTTGATAAAGGAAAGGGGTAAAGAAAAGAAAAGAGAAAAGTTCTTGGCTAACCGGAGAAAACCAAAAATCCAAAGTATCAAGAGAAAAGAAGATTCGCAAAGTTCTTTCAAGTAAAGGCAAGGAAGTGTGTCACTCGAATGGTGAATTCCTTCTATTTATAAGAGGCATAAATTTCCCAAGCACGAAACCCAAGAGTTGCCAATCGAAGCTGATGGGGCAAAAAACGGTACAACCCCCTGAGAACATGTGTCATAATGGCGGCAACCACGGACGACGTTTCAAGTTAAACGATATTTAGGTTCCGAAACGGCCGCAACAACTCAGAGATATCGAAAGGGTGTCGATACGCCACTTGATTTTGAAAATCACACTCAAGGGGTAAATAGTCAGATTTCTTTGGACTAAGTGAAAATCATCATCCGTCCACCGGACCCGACTAGGGACGACCCCGGCAGACGGAAGGACTAACTGTATTGGTCAAAATCTGACCACTGTGGTTGACCCAATCGGGACCACGTCTAAACAACAGGATGAAAAAAGATGCCATGATTTGCTCCAAATCCCGTGTCCGCAGCGTCTGCGCAGTCGACGGACAATATTCAGGGGACGACAAAAACGGACGTAATACGAATGGGCTATAGCCCAAATACATAGCCAGGACTGCATGACTATATATAGGGATGGAACCTTCCTAGAATGGGGGGCTTTTCTTTTTCCTCTCCTCTGTACTCTCCTTAGTAGAAAGAAAAAAACCATCTTCCATGGAAGATGTACGATAGACATATTGTCCAATTGATGAAAGAAGAAATGAAAGGCTCCGACAATTTATTTGCTCCTATTTCATTTGTCGTATCATCGTACTACTTGTTTGTAGATTTGGAGTTTCATTATGCTTGACTAAGATTTACTTCTTCAACTTCTTTAATTGATTTAATCAAATATATTTCAATATCTTTTAGTTGAACAGTACCCATATTATCAATTTTTAGCGACAAATTCCACTTTAATGAACTGGTAACTGTAGTTGCCATTTAAAAAATTAGATTGTGCAATTTTTTTTAATGTTGTCAGTATACATAAAGTTATTCTCAATAAGTAAATGAAAAAAATTAATCCATTATTCGTATATATGAGAAAGTTCAAGTCAGCCGTTGCGTATGCTTCTTAAGTACTGCAAATATTCATCTCTAATTAATATTTAATAATGAAGGTGGAATATATAGCTGGAACCATTAGCTAAAATTTTAAGTTCATTACTCACTTCCCAATGCGATCACTTAACAAATGCAAAAGAATAAGTACAATCGGAGGAAAACCAATCACGTCCAACCAATAAAATGTTCTGTATGTTAGATGACGCTGACAAATGCAAAAGCAAGTGTACCTAATATACTAGGGTGCACCAACCAGCGTGGATCCAAAACACTAGATTAATCGAAACTCAATAACTTTTGCTCAAATCTTTTATATATATATATATATATATATATATAAAAGTCTTTGTGTACGTGCATTACGTTTATTTCACATAATTAATAAAAAATTATATAGTCTTATACATGAATGGTAAAACGTTTTGAATCATGATTGTATTTATAAGAAAAAGATTATGCTTAGAAATCATTTCTAATAACAATCTAAATATTTAAGCTAAAAAAAAATGAGAAGATAAAATGTTAGCTCAAAAAAATTATTTGATTTTTTAAGAACGGTAAATGTCAGCTCAAAAAAATTATTGTACGCTGAAGTTAAAAAGCTTAACTTTGTAAAGTGAATCATTTAGATACGTGGACCTTACTAAATTCTTTGATAATCCTCAAGTCAAATTTAATGTTACAAAACTAACTTTTATTATTAATGTTGAAGGTATTATTAAAATAACTTTTAAGGGCATAAAAGTCCAATAGTAGTATAGAGTTATTTTGGCCTTTCACATTCAACTTTTGATTCATGCTTATAATATAGTATGGTATTAAAAAATTTATTAACTATTTATAAAAGCTAATTTGCGAGCTTAGTTGTTGTTATATATAAATTCAAAATAATTGTTGGAACTCATAATTAAACTATAAATTCTAGAGCTGTCTCTGACACTAACATGATAATTTATTGGAAACTCAAGAAATTAAACAAGTGTTTTCACTCTTCTAATTTGAAGAAGCACATGGTCTATGAGTAATTAGGATCTGATCCCTAAATGACTTATTTTACGCTAAGCTGTGGCATTTTTTAAGTTAAAAACATACTCCTATTTGAACCTCTTTGATTTGCGAGCTGCACTCTGCAAATACAGTGTTTATCTTATCTTGTGGTCACATTAGATATTTCCAACTCAAAAGCTTTTAAAAAAAAATGTATTTGTCTTTACTTATTATTTTTCTTTGCGATGATCTTTTAAGTAACTTATGACGAGGAAAAAACTTATACTAGTATATAATATTGCCTCATTCCATTTTAAGAAAAAAATGACGCAATTGAAGGAATGAAGGTCAAGTCATATAATTTTTTATTTTAATTGGAATGTGAATTCTTTAATTTAATATTTTTTTTATATAATTTGAAGATACATAACATTGATAAGTCTTAATTTTCATACGAAGGAGGTATCCAAATAAGTATATTTTGTGTCAATTAGGGATTAATAGTGTCATATAAATAAACCGTAGGAAGTAATATTATTCTATGTCGTTGAATATCTACATATTATGCTTAAATGAAGAATTTAATACATCATAAATATCTAGGAAAATTTGCTTAGCCGACCATTGAGAGAGAGAAGCAAGTGAGAAAACGTGTTAATTGTGAGGCCTTTTTTTAAAAGACTACCTTCAGTTTGTTTTCGTAAAATGTTAAACGTTATATACTGATTTTTATATTTTGTAAAAGTTATATTCTGATTTTTATTTTTTATTTTACTAGCAATAACTTAATATTGAAAAATATGAAGGAAAAAGAAATACTGTGAGAGCAGTTTGAAAACTTAACTCGTGCGCCACATTTATCAAAGAGTAACGACGGATGAAGATATTCCAAGCCAATATATAATTAAATGTGGTAAGCAATCACGTCCCCTTTTTTGATTTATTTACGTAACGTTTCATTTATTATTAAAATAATTATTCGCACTCCGTTGTTGAACTCCTTATTTACATTACTCAACACTTACCGTGGATAGGAATGCCATAAACATAATTATTCGCACTCTGTTGTTTGTAATAGATTAGTTGATTGCAACTTGCAAGACATGTGTTTTACGTATAACATTTTATTATTTAATTATAATTAAGTGAATTTAATTTTTTCTAGCTAACACCACAAACTAGTAAATATTTTTCTTGACTTCTCGCACCCAGTATGTGCCTTTTAATTTCTTTTTTATTTTTCTTTCTTATGTGATCTAAAATATTCTATATTTTGTTTTCCAACGCAAAAAGGAGTTTTTGTTTCACATTACTTTTTTATTTTATTTTAATATTCTCGAGATAGATATTAGATGACTGCAGGGTATTTGTCATGTAAAAATAGAATTAAAATGTCCTATTTCAACCTTAGTATCGCATTAATCGTATCATGCTTTAACTTACTCTTAAAGAAAACTTGACTGATTTCTTTTTTTAGTTCTCTCCCAAATTAGGTAATCCAAAAACTTTATACGGAAAATTAGTTAAGTCAATTTTTTTGGAGAAAGAAAACTTACAAACTAATAAGATACAGTAAAGGGGCGGTCACAATCAATTACTTTATAAAAGCTACCTTGAAAATTCGGAAGAAAGGAGGTAATAATCCCATTAGTGGGCAAATATGTCAATTGACACTTAATAAAGCAGCGAAGTTAAATGCAGCTAAAAAGTTAATCGGGGGTAATAATGTCATTTGGTAATTCAGCTTTTTATGTTATCGTCCCCTTTAAATGCAGCAGCCTAACCTTATTTCCTCTGACTCACACTCAGCTTTGCTCAGCCATTTTTATTGCTAAGCAAGTGATATTGGATAATACATTATACAGTTCTATTTTACCTTACATTTTTCTGTTTCCGAACACAGAAACATTCATCTAATCACAAACACAAGGTTAGCTTTCTACTTGCTTCGAATTTCTCGACCTTCTTCGTATTTCAATTACAGTTTTTTTCTCCAGATTGTTAGCAAATTATCTATCTTTTTGATCCTTTAATTTGAGTTCTTTGATATTGTCAGAGTTATCGGGTCGGATTTTTCATATGAAAATATTTTCTAAAATTTGTTTGTTTCACGAAATCTTCCTTTAATTGATTTTCAGAAGAAAAGGAGAAAAAAAAAATCTATTTTTTAATTGATTTGGTTGGTGGGTGTTGTTGTTCTCGCTGAATTAAACACTTTTTCCAAATTAAACAATATATTTGGTATGCTTACTTCTTTATATTTGGCAAGTCTTAGTGAAAATCTTAGCTCCCCACTTTCACCTTTGGGCTTTGAGTAACTGAATTATCAAATTCTAGGAGAGGGTAGGAGATGAAGAAAGAAACATAATTAGATAAGATTGTTACTGTAATATAGGAATTTTATGTTTGAATTAGCTTCTTATTTAATTCCAAGTAAATTCTAAATTTTCCATTAGCAGAAATTTAATAAATCTTTAAAGATTTTCTTCGAGATCCTTGGGTTCTGTTTCCTTTTTCTGTTATATTTTTTTGGTCGTGACAAGATTTACATTTAGACAACACTAGTAAGCATTAGTGGCTGAATACTTAAACCAGAGATAGTTGGATTCTGTTTTCTCAATTTATTTGAATCCCTGGATTAATTTTTGATTAATAGATAATTGAATCACTACTATCCCCACCTCGTCCCACCAGTCTTTTCATCAAATCTTTTATTAGATATTTTAGTTTACCTATCAAAAGAGGGACAATTTTGATGCGGTGAATTTATCTCAAGAGGGAAAATTCTAATCTTAAATTTTGTCTTGTTTGTCTTATTACAGGTTGTTTTCTTGATTTACAAAAGAGGGAAATTTTTATTCTCTTCCTCTTAATCAACTTCTTTGGCAGAGGCAGTCATGGAAGAAAATTACAGCAAACCCCCAGGAATCAGGTTTATGGAGAGGGCAAAGAAGTCAAGTCTCTCTTTCAAAACATATCAAGCCATAGTCCTAATTGTAACTTTTTTAGCATATGCAAGTTATCATGCTACTAGAAAAACTACTAGCATTGTAAAAAGTGCACTTGATCCCCAGACCCCTGGTGTGGATGGTTTAATGTTTCCGTGGCAAAGGCATACTACTCAAGAAAGTTCAAGACTTTCTTGGATGCTTAAAGATGGTTGGTTGCCATTTAACGGACACGATGGTACAGCTATGCTCGGTCAACTTGATGTGTCTTTCCTTTTTGTATATGCCATGGGAATGTATTTCTCCGGGCACGTTGGCGATAGGATGGATCTAAGAATATTTTTGACAATAGGAATGGTGGGAACTGGTTTATTCACTGCCCTTTTTGGAGTTGGATATTGGGCAAATGTACACATTTTTTACTACTATCTAATAGTCCAAATGATGGCTGGATTGTTCCAATCAACTGGTTGGCCTTCAGTCGTCGCAGTTGTTGGGAATTGGTTTGGGAAAAAGAAGAGAGGACTTATAATGGGTATTTGGAATGCTCACACATCCATCGGAAACATTACGGGTTCTTTGGTTGCTTCAATCTTGTTGAAGTATGGATGGGGTTGGTCAATGGTTGTTCCTGGTAGCATTATTGCTATCATTGGCGTGCTGGTATTCCTTTTTTTGCCAGTTCATCCCGAGTCTGTCGGAGCAAATCATGATGAAGATGAAGATGAAGTGTTCTCTCCTAGAAAAGAAGGCGAGGAAGTAACAGAGCCTCTGTTGAGATCAGATAGAGAAGAGGAATCAGCCGTGGGTTTTATAGAAGCATGGAAAATTCCAGGGGTTGCACCTTTTGCTCTTTGCCTTTTCTTTGCCAAGTTGGTAGCATACACATTT